ATAATAGAAAACATCACAGAAATAAGATTAAAATGAATGGGCTAAAACATATGACCCAAACAGATTATAAAGATATCTTTGAAGCAGCAGGAGAGACTAAATTCAACTTTTCTGCCAAAGACTCCAAATACAACAAAATGTATTTAACAGCTAAAAAATTATGGATTTTTGCATATGCCCCCCACCCTTTTAACATGTACAAAACTCACTAAAGTCAGTTTGTCCTGGCAGCCATCTTGAATTTGATTTGCATCAAATATTAATCAGTTGTAGAGTTACTTATTTCATGAAAGTTTTAGTAAAATCTGTTCAAATTGTAATGCTGACAGATAAACATAGCTGACTCAAATTAATCATTACACTGATAAAAATAAATTGTAAGATGTACTTGAAAAAAATCTCTAACAAATTTGCACTAAAGGTTGTTAAGTAAATTTAAGTACTACAAATTCATGTAATATTTACTCATCCTTATCTAGTAAAAGTTATTAACAATATAGTTAAAGATTTGTGAATAAATCAGGTAAATTTTACTTAATTTGCTGAATTAAATCTCGTAACATACTTGATCAAATTAAGTAAAATTTACCTGATTTATTTACAAATCTTTAACTATTCTTAATAACTTTTACTAGATAATGAGATGAGTAAATATTACATGAATTTGTAGCATTTAAATTTACTTAACAAACATTAGTGCAACTTGTTACAAGGATTTCTTCTAGTAAATCTTACAAGTTCTTTACAACAGTGCACATGCGTCAAGCACAATACTGTAGCATGACACCTCACAGCTACAGAGAGAGGTGTAGCTCTTGTTGTAGTTCAAGACTTCACCACCAGGTAGCAGATTTGAAGAACCTTTATTTGATTTTTTGATTCTTCTACTTGAACAACAAAGACAAAGTGAAACTCGCAGGTCTTATTAATGACTAGGCCTTCCACTGCTGAACGGTTTAACACAAGTTAAATAATGAACACACAAATTAGAGTAACACAACAGACCAATTGCTGAAAGAACAATGTTAACCAATTCCCTAAAATGATTTAACAACAACAAACATGAATCCTACCCACAATCCTCC